AATGGCTGCAAACCCATTGTAAAATAATTGTAATGCATACCGAGTAGTTCTTACTTTAACTGGCGTTGTTCTCCACTTAGCATCAGAGAGAATCGGTGCTCTCCTTCCGAGAGCATCGACTCTCTGAAACATATTCTCCTTCAGAGAATATGCACTCCTTTTGTCTTTATAATTGCTTGGTATACAGCTAAATGACATTGATCATCCGCCATGGGATCTTCATTTTATTTTCAGGTAGACTCAAGAAAGAAGCCATCCGTCGAGGGAAATCAACATTAAAGCGTCTAAATTTCAGTTACCTTTAAGTTATTTGTAAGATTTTGTAAAAAGGGAGGTAGATGAAACTAATGATTCCATCGATGTAACTACAGTTACATAGATGGGATTGGGTTCCATCTAGCTTTCTTTGGGTCTCCACTCGCAGCAACCTCCTCGTGGTGAGACACGGGCAATTGGTATTATCTTCGATAAAGTATTGTAAACTGAAGGTAATACCAAGCTAATGGCTGCGAACTTAAAAGTAATTTCTCTAGTTGTTAGAATGAATCTGAGACCGAATATTTTTGGTGAATGTTCTGTCTTACATGAAACTTAGAATATTTTAAGGCTACATATACGATAGAAAATCCTTGTTTATTATAACGGTACGTAAAATAAAAATTTGTGTTTCAGTTGCTTTTTTGATAAATATTACTCACTTATGTATGATAATGCAAAATAGAAATATACTATTTGTATTTGAAAACATATAAGCCTTTGTTGTCACTGTTAAACTGTTGTGTTAACGATGGAAAAATAATGTATTTCAATTAAATTTACATAATAATATTAACGTGTTTATAATAGCAATATTAATCGTTATTACTTTCTTGTACTCGAAAAAAAAAATAATACGTCTGGCAGGATTACAACACAAAACCTTTTTTCTAATACGTTTACTTTTCAGTGAACGAACAGAAGAATTTGCGATCGTGGTTACTGGATCATTTTTTATAATGCACATATGATTGTACAGTAGTTGCATTTATTCTTCTTTATCGAAAACAATGGAATCAATAGTGTAAATAAAATTGTACCGTACAAAATGATTAATAACTAAATTTGCTAAGTTGTCTTATTTATGTATAACAGTGTAGAAAAGCACGGGTTAGTGATTGCAACAAATAATGTGCTGGGCGACAGAGTGGGGTGAGCGCAAGTGTGTGAGAAATACATGTGAGCCAGGGGCGTTTCCAGTGATTAATTTACGAATCGACCATTATCGAGCGTCTACTGTACATGTTCTGAAATACCGATCATGCAAAAAAATCACAGATTTTCTGCTGCCCTCTACGTTATGAGAACGGTGCGTTCGGGAATTACATTCAATTCATCTCGAAGCTATCCAAAACTAGCTGGTATTAGAAAGAAGACTGGGGTTCTAGTCCCACCGGACCTATTACATTTTCGCGTGCAAATAAGTAATAACGTTAAATATTACTACATACGTATTATGAATACGTATACATACATATATATGTAGTATTGTTATGTAGATTTGCCTAAAATACTTTATTTATCTACTGTTAATACAGCAGTTTGACAGTGACAACGGACGTTTCAACAAAGAGTATACTTTTATTCTGTATTAATAATATAAGTGAGTAATATTTATCAAAACAGTAATCGAAACAAAAGTTTTTATTGCACCATGAATTGCTTAAAAAATACAGGCTCTCAAAGTTGGTACTTCAATACATACCAACGTACAAATTTTCATTGGTTTTTACAAAATCTACTTTAACAAAAGAATTTTTATCTTCGTGATTATTATAGGATCTTTGTTCTATTTCATAGAAATAAAAATTACAGAATATTACTGTTGCATAACTGTTGAAATATATCGATCAGTCGTCGATAAGAGAAATCCTTCTCTGTTACAAATTTCTACGAATATATAGTTAACAACTGCTATGAACATTAAGACACAGTCAATGTTTAATAATTTGCAATAAAGTGCAAGAAGTCACATGTATATTCAACTATTTTAGTAAATTCATATCCTAAATTTGAAATAAAGTTGAACGTAATGTACTGTAGAAATTTGGCTAGGTGTGTTCTAGTTATGTAGATCGAAGTTCATTATTAAATTACTATAAATAAATGATGTGTAAATGTAAAGATTCACCAATTGCCAAAAGGTATATAATTGATTGTGCATATTAAGATTCTTCTAGCACGTTACTAAATAAAAAGATATAAAAGAGAATAAAAAAGGAGCGTGTAACAAGTATCATTACTAAAGTATCCATTAACGATATTATAGATTTAGAATAAGTGAAAAAATGTATACTTTCGCGCGTCATATTTCATTAGTATCATATTCATCCTTTAAAACGTAGCATCGGATATTTTTTTATTCCCGCCAAATCATATTTGTAGATATGATTGTATTATATTGTAGATATTTGTAGACGTAACATGGATGGAATACAAATGCTCCATTTGTGCTAATAAAACACAGAATTCATGTTTTATCGGTAACGTAGGATATGGATACTGAAATGGTAAAGGGGCTTTGGATCACTCGAAACATATGACAGAAAATTACTTTGCATGTAGGTCTATTCTATACATATCACGTCTGTCTAAGAATGTTGAATTCGGTGGTTATATTCAATCCAACCGAGACTCAGCAAACGGAACTTCTACAGAATTGCTAAGTATAAGTTTTCTTTATTCCCTCGGTGAAAAAAAGCTTCTATTTATTATTTAACTGGTACATAATATCTGTCAGTTATTGCATAAACTTTGGCGGCATAGTCAAATTGGTAGAAAATATTTAAGATACATATGTAGATGACATTTACGAGAGAACTGCACTTTCAAAACGTCGAGAAAGGGGCAGCAAAAATACTTTGGGGCATCGTAAGTACATTAAAGCTTTTCATTTCAAACGAATTGGAACAACAAACAAGTGTTACACAGTTAAATTCTTTTATTCATTGTTGTAGAGTAACTATATCTCCCTTTTATAGTGTTTCAAGAGTGGTTTATAGATGGCGCTGATTAGGGAACGGTCTACACAAAAAGTGAGAAAGCGTGTAGTGGGGATGAAGCCGGGGCATTGAACAAAGGTTGACTGCGCGTCGCGGAGCCGGTGGCGCATTCACGATTCAAACATGGCAGCGGCTACCAGCGTTGTCGTGCTCGACAGGGGCAACAATACCACCTGCACGATTAATTTACACGGTGTGTGCGCGCGAACAGATTATTGGAAGCGACCAGATCTGCGAGTTCACCGTCAAATTTTCTCATCAGTTCCTTGAACTGCCACGCGACAACGCACTGGCGTAGTATATTTTGCGTGAATTGTTTTTATACCAAAAGGCTGTATTCCCCATCAGTTATCGTTGGAAAAAAAGTTACAGAAAAAGTGGTAGATTGGCAACTGGCTACAAATGAATATAGTGTAATGCATTGACAAAGTGCCGCTCCCAGATCTGATTCGCGTTTCTACATTTTATTGAGGAAGACAAAGTGTGTGCGCGCCTTTACCCGAGAGCCTAACCTCTAGTTTTTGTGCTGTTCTATGTGCACTTGCTGGTTTATATGTACAGATATAGATAGATTCAAGCTTGAATTTTGACATATACTATGATGTGTTGTTTCCGGTACTTTTCTTCGTGTACTTTCTCCAATTAATATATTTTCTAATAGTTTTGGACATTCAGTCGACAGGGATATTATTGTTGTAAACAGGCCACTGATTTAAAAAAAATTCTTATCTATATATGAATGACAGTTACGTGAAAAGCGTGCGCGGCGGTGGAGTTAAATCGCGTGTGAATTACTGTTTAATAAAATGTTCACTGTCATTTCCACAAATAGATGTAATAAGAGTAATAGGAGAAACTGGTCTGAGATTCTCATAAAATTTTTTTATGTTTTTTTTTTAGGTGCCACGGTGGTATCCTGGCGAGTGAATAATCAAGAACAACTGTTCGTAAGGTAAGTTTATATTTTTCATTCCGTCATCTTACTCGGTGATTGCATGATGAATGTAGTCGCCGGACTGTGATTACATAACTAATATTATATTACGAGGATAATATACGTATTAAAGCTGTCACGTATACCGAGTGTATAAATTAGAATATATAGCAAATTTAAATGATATACTGTTGACATTGAATTAATTTGATTATTATAAAACAGCGTAATACATAAACTATTACATTGTTATTTTTTCCATATTATACGAATAATTTTTAATATATTAGACATTCAAGTTAAATTAACATTTTTGGAATTGAAAGCGGTAAATAAAATATCGAACAGTAATATAAAATTATCTCTTTTACCACAGCTTCAGATGTTCAAAATACATACTAAATATTGTATAAATAAAAATTATATACAAGATATTTTGGAAGTATAAAAATTCGTAATTTGGATGTATATCATACGAATTAATGTTTACTTGCAGACTTCAAGTATACTTAACATACGAAAATATACTTCCGCGAAAAAGACTTTTTACCATTAATTTTGCGATAATTTAATAATTTTATTATAAATTTAAATCATTTCCCATAGCATGTAACTGTGTGGTTTCTTTAAAATTATGATTTTACAACATGAGTATGTGCCTGTTTTAGTTCAGTTACTTAAGTATAAGTAAAATTAAAATAATTGAAGTCATTACAAATTCAACTATAGAAAATTACGCTACATTGTATTTCAGTAATACATTTTTTTGTGCATTAAAACATCATTTCATAAGTAAATATCTTCCATTATATAAATAAACAAATGTACATTACATAATTTATGTCTGATTTAATTTTAAAATAATTATTTGACCAGTTGTTTGTGAATAACTAGTAAACCGGTGGAGATTATTTTTTATACTGCGGATTTTGTGCATTTATGATAAATGTGAGTGGTATAGATACAGTATAATATTGTATTAGAATACTTTAATTTTACTTTAAACCAAGTAAGAAAGGAAATAAATTTCTATTTAGTTCCATTGTTTTATTTAATATGTGAAAGTAGGTATAAGCTTACATAAGCATCCACAGAGCAATTGTTACAACGTATTTAGGAAGAAATCGTAAACGCTAGCCAAAGGAATCTGTTTTGAACGATAAAATTGCGAAAAAAGTATCGGTGAAAGTGAAACAATATAATTGAAAACTGCCGCCTCATTCAATTTGTCCGTCAGGTTTATCGTCTCCAGCTCTTTTTCGATTTACTCCGGTCGATATGAAGCTTGTTGAAGTATCAAAATATGTGGCAGAAAATAATCACGCGATATTTACGATAAAACTTTAAGTGTTTCCTGAAGATACAAAACATATATTGAATTTAAATTATATTATCGCATCAAAAATATTTCCCTACCCTTACTTGATAAAGATGGCGCACGATGCTGAAGAACAATGACAAACACCAGGGCGTCGCATGTTTCTGGTTTTCTTAAAGACAGATATTAAATTTGGAGAACAGTATTATGGTACTCGTTGATCACGTATAATATTAAAACTATACAATACGATAATAATGGTTACGCTGCGGATTGTTTGCGTAAATAGAAATTTTTAATGACTAATTTACAGAAACTGGAATCAAAGAAAATTTTAAACAGCATAAAAAACTCATTAAATTTTATTATACATTTTGTTACACTTCTTTTCAGATAATCGTGCACGCTGTAAGTGTATAAAACTCGCAGTCTATTAACGATGAATATATTATTATTACTGAATTTGAGTTTTATGTCCACTCATCAGTAGACGACACTATTAAATAGTCATCGATTTAACGAGCTGCATTAGAACTTTCAAAGTAACATTTTAATATCTACTGATATAACGAATCTACTTGAATCCACTCATGTACACTGTTCGAGGTCAATTTGACAAAAAATAAAACATTAACGTCCCCTAATTGTTCACGTGAAAAATCCACATAGATGAATTCGACAGGAACAACTTATCCGTGTTATCATCTACACGCAAGCTAATAAATCCCAATAATTCAATATTAATTTTAACCTTTTATAACCAAACAATTAAATAGTATACAACGGTCGAATAGAATACTTTGAAATCACGTGATTTAATTACCAGCCGCATTTTACAAACACACAATTCGACACATTCTACAAACACTCATACGGTGTTTTCGTCTATGTTTAACAAACACTATTACTACTATTATATCTAGTAAATATCTCTACAAATTTTCCAATGCTTAAATAATTTCTTCAAGTATTTACATCAAATTTATGTCGATAAATTTGACGTAAAAAATTCTTCCCTTTACGTGAGAGAGGAAATATTTCATACCGCAATAAAATCATACGTTATTATACGGATAGACTTCTCGTAGACTGTAGACGATTCCAAGCGGTCCAAACGAATGAAACACCCTGTATATCGTCCTGTCTCCGAAACGCGCAGTTCTGCCTCGGAGACACAACGGATAAAACAGAAAGTATATATCCCCTCGGTGTGTTCATTGGTACACGCGTATTGTGCCCGATACTATTCGTCCCGAGTAATAAGAGCTAACGAAGAAAGACGCCGGCCGCAACGAGTGTAAGACAAGCGCCGCGCACCTGCACGAGAAAGAGTCGTCGCGTAAAAGCGCGGTGCCCGTGACGATCGTTTTAAAAGCGGCAGCCACGGGAGCAGACGATGAAAAAACTGACGGAGCGAACGGGCAAGGGCGCTCTGGACCAGTACATACCTTTTACACGAGGTTCAGGGCCCCTCGCCAGTTGCCAGTCATCGGTTCTTCCGACACTTAAAGGCGCTGTCGGGACCATCTGTCTGTCTCTTTCACCTCTCTGTCGTCCGGATACACACACACAGCGAGTGTATATTTCCCCGAACGTGGTCGCTGTCGTATGGTTCGGCAGTTATCCATCGCGAGGATAACGAAACTTTCGGGGAAATTCAATGAGAAATAACAATCGATACCGTGAAATCTGGGACTGGCGGAGACAACCTTCGCGAGGAATACAGGCAACGAGGAGTGTCTGTAATTTACTCTAATTTCCGTAGAAACGACCGTAAAAGATACATACGTCGGTATGTCCGACGTAATATAGATCTCTGGACAAGGAGACGCGTAAGTCCAGCGAAACCGGCCATTGGTCATCGTCGCGCGTATTCCTGCGATTGTCGGTCTTTTGTAGTTTCGGGTGTATTTCTAATTGGCATTTAATAAGTTAGATGAGTTAGTATTAGGTTGTACCACATAAAAAAGCCGTTTCTATAGATCGGTGTGGAAACGCATATTTTTAAAAAAACAATTTGTGTTCCATTGAAATATGCATCTATTTATAATTTTCTTCAAACAGGATATTATCTGACACATCCTCGTTCTTATAAAAATTGGTATTTTTAGATTGTATGAATCCTTAACACCTGTAAGTACCGATTTTCGATTAGGAAATCCTTTTCGTTTCTTTGAAGAAGCTACCGATAACAGGAAAGTAATCTTTTGTTCATAATTTAATTCAGTTAACTTTGTCATGACCTAATTTAAATTCATATTGGGAAAGTATTCGACACTATTACTTTGATACCATATTTTTCACTTCCGTAGAACAGTTAAACAATAACAATAAAAATTCAGTACTCGAAAGAGATGAAGAAGTGCAGCAACGGTACAATTTTTTACCAGCATAACAAACAATTAATATGTTACTTAATTTACTAATCGTGGTTGATCATCAACTATTCGAATCCCGACAACTCGATACTTTTGCGTTGTGAACGATTATAAATGTATCGTTAGAAGCGAGTACAGACAGTAGTCAGTAGCGAAAGTGAATGGAATTTTTTAATCGTTTAAGATTAGAAATTGTAATCAATTTTACAAGGAGTATTAGTTTTGCAAGCAATTAATGAAACGGTACACATGTTTGTAAATATTATAGATATAGCCAAGAAACATATAGTGATTTATATACTTTTAGTATTTGTAAAGTAATTTTTATCACCAATGTACTTACGTGAAATGTAACATGATTTATAATATTACGGTATAATTCTTTTATATCTAATTTGATGTGTTAGAAAAATACTATGAAGTACAGTAGAATCTTGATTATTTGAAGACCATTTATTTGGAAATTGTTTAGCTTCTTAAGATACAACAGTGGGTTTCATGCAAATGTATTTGATTATGGAAGGACAATATCTAACCCCAAGTTAGATGTTAGATAGTTTTTATGCATTTATAGAAAGCTTCTTCCTGATTACAAATTAATTTAAATTTGTTGAAATAATAAATACTGTCTTCCATAAATTTTAATTATTTTTATCGATGTAAATATGCTTTTATCATTTTGGACTGCGTTCATATCACTGCGTTTCAAATTCTAAAAGTCAGAATCTGCTGATTGTGTTGGGACCACAGGAAAAAGCAGATGTTTCTCGTCTTACGATTTGACCATCGCAGGAAGCACTCACATGGTGTTTTCGTCTACGTTTAACATCTGTGAATCGGAAAGCAGGAACCGAGCGAAAACATGAGACCATTAAAATCGAGTTCAACTTCTATAAGATAATGTGTGGTTTTCCTACGTTATTAAATATGTATTTCCTCTCTCATATAAAAAGAATTTTCTATGGGAAATACACATCTGTGTTTGTTATACTAACGAACACTGTTATCTTCTTTATCGACATAAATTTGACATAAAACTTAGACGAAAACACCATATGAGTGCTTTCTGCGATGGTCAAACCGTAAGACGAGAAACATCTGTTTTTTTCCTAACACGTTCAACAGATTCTGACTTTTGGTACAAAATATACGACAGATATACAGTAATTCGAGTTAGATATTATTAAGAATTATCGGAATGAAATCATTCTTGGTCTTATTTTAACGAGGAAAACCTCGTCAATGCGTTAGAAGTAATTTCATAAAGATAAAATTGAAACTGTAAAATTTGTATTTGGGAGGAGCCCCACAACGCTCTGTAG